CACTGGGGTCTTCAGAAGGGGTGTTGAGGCTCCACTCTCAGGTGTACGTGCACCCCACCGCAGCAGCAGCTGTGCTGCTGTGTGCTGCACGCACTGGTGTCTTTGCGTCTTTTTTGCTGCTGCTGCTGCTGCTGCTGCTGTTGCTGCTGTCGCTGCTGTCGCTCGCAGTAATGAAGCAGCAATCAATAGGCGATGGAGATCTTCTGATTGGTGTCCGTTTTGCTGTTTGCTGCTGCGGGCGTTGCTGCTTCTGCTGCTGCTGCTGCTCCTCCTCATGCTGCTGCTGCTGCTCCTGCTGCGGCTGCTGCTGCTGCTGCTCCTCCACATCCATCTGCTGCTGTTGCTGCTGCTGTTGTGACTGGGAGTCATCCTGCGACTGCTGCACTGAATCTATGACGATGCAGCACGGCTCGATCGTGTTGCTGCAGCTCTTGCTGCTGCTTGTTTCTTTGCTGCTGCTGCAGACATCTTTGCTGCTGCTGCTGCTGCTGCTGCTGCTGTTGCTGCTGCTGCTGCTGCTGCTTTTGAAAGCAACGTCTAATATGCTGCGCTGCAGGTTCTCCTGCTGCCGCCGCAGCGCCTCCTCCTGCTGCTCCGTCCGCAGCTGCTGCAGCACCAGCGTAATGCCGCGGTAGTCTTCCAGTGGACATACACTGCAGCACAGGCAGCAGCAGCAACAGCAGCAGCAGCAGCAGCAGCAGCAGCGGCGGCAATTAAAGCTAAGATCGCATATAGAACAGCAGCAGCAGCAGCCGATCTAAATGACGGCCTCGACGACACAGAAAGAGACGAGACTGCAGCAATGCCCTTTACACAGCAGCAGCAGCAGCAGCAGCAGCAGCAGCAGCAAAACAGGAAACAGCAGCAGCAGCAGCAAAAGGGGCAGCAGCACAGCAGCAGCAGCAACGCACTCGCTCAGACTTTCTCTCCACAGTGCCCAAAGCTCCTCATACAAATCTTTCGACGACTGCACCCCAAATACAACACTCATCTTCTTGCTGCTGCTGCTGCTGCTGCTGCTGCTGCTGCTGCTGCTGGTTTTGCTGCTTCCAACGACACGAGAGCCCCTGGCGGAGTCACAAACTCCGCACCCCAGAAACTTGACGGTGTTGACGGGTGCTCCAGGTTGTCTGTACAGCAGCTGCAGCAGCAGCAGCAACAGCAGCAGCAGCAGCAGCAGCAGCAGCGATAGCAGCAGCAGCGGCAGCAACAAGGGCAGCATCAAGACAGCATGAGCCCAACGATGTCCGCAGGTTAAAACCATGAAAACCTAAACATACTATGAGAGTATAAATTCAGGGGTTTAGGGTTTAGGGTTTAGGGTTTAGGGTTTAGGGTCTAGGGTTTAGGGTTTAGGGTTTGGGGTTTGTTGTATACCTTAGCCGATATTTTTGCGGTGTATAGGCAGCTAGCTTTGAGTCTCTTTTCTCCTTCTGCTGCAATCTGCTGCAGCAGACAACAAAGCTCAGATTGCTGCTGCAGCCGAATACCCCAGTTCACTGATATGCTGAGAGAACCCTTGGAGGGTAAGCTGCTAGCTGCTGCTGCTGCTGCTGCTGCTGCTNGCTGCTGCTGCTGCTGCTGCTGCTGCTCCTGCTGCTGCAGTAGCAACACCACCAGAACCTACTGCTGCTGCTGCTCCTGCTCCTGCTGCTGCTGCTCCACTTCCTGCTGCTGCTGCTCCTCCTCCTCCTGCACCTGCAGTAGCAGCAGCAGCAGCAGCAGCAGCAGCAGCAGAAGACGGGGGCGGCCGGACGTCTACACCGTGGCAGAGCCACCACAGCTGCGCCCCTCGCTTGCGGCCTGCATGCAAACAGCAGCAGCACAGCAGCAGCAGCACAGCAGCAGCAGCTTTTCATATGTATTTGATTCCTCTTGCTGCAGCAGCAGCAGCTGCTGCTGCTGTTTCTCTGTCTATCTATCTATCGCCTAGGGCTCAGCAGCACAGCATGCACACCGAGAGCAGCCTGCAGCAGCAGCAGCGATTCCTCTCCTTTTTTCTGAACATCCAAGCATCTCTTTGGCGCTGCTGCTTTTGCTGCTGCAGTTGCTGCTGCTGCTGCTGCTGCTGCTGCTGTTGCTGCTGCTGCAGCAACCTTAGAGGCAACAGCGGGCCCCACCCCTGGCAGCTCAAGCAGCCGCAGCGGCGCCACAAAAGCTGCAGCATTTGCTGCTCCGCTTCTGACGACGCAGACCCCCTCCCGCTGCACTACTGCAGCAGCAGCAGCAGCAGCTGCTGCTGCTGCTGCTGCTGCTTTTGGTGTTTTGTGCTTCTTTGTAGGCGGAGCTGCAGCTGGAGCAGCAGCACTAGCAGCAGCAGCAGCAGCAGCTGCTGCTGCTGCTGATGGCTTTGCTGCTGCAGTTGCAAGCTTCGCTAGGAGACAGTTGCTGCCAGCACCCACAGAGACAGTGCAGCCGGTTATTTGTTTTATTGCTTCTCTCAGAGCAACACAAACCTCAGCAACAACCAAAGCCTCATCCATGTTGCTGCTGCTGCTGCTGCTGTTGCTGCTGCTGCTGCTGCTGCTGCTGTTGCTGCTGTTGCTGCTGCTGNGTTGCTGCTGCTGCTGCTGCTGTTGCTGCTGCTGCTGCTGCTGCTGCTGTTGCTGCTGTTGCTGCTGCTGTTGCCGCTGTTGCTGCTGCTACTCGAGCTATTTCTACTGTCGCCGGCGGTGCTGCTAGTGCTGCTGCTGTCGATCGTCTGGTACAAGTTGTCGCTGCTGCTACTGCTTCTGCTGCTGCTGCTGCTGCTGCTACTACTGCTGCTGCTACTGCTAGTGCTGCTGCTGCTGCTGCTGTCGAGCTGCTCAGAGTGGGCCGCCTGTGTCTGCGGCAGCAGCGGGAAGCAGATTTGAATGAAGGCCTGCAGCACAGAGAAACACACTAACCACCCCCATGCTGCTACGCACAGCTGCTGCTGCTGCTGCTGCGGTTGCTGCTGCAGCTGCTGCAGCTGCTGATGTTGCTGTTGTTGCTGCTGCTGCTGTTAGTATTGCCAAGCAGTATTCTCCCGCTCAGCTGCATTCAAGGCCAATCTATAACATTGAATGCATATGAGGGTTTGTGAGGGTTTATGAGGGTTTATGAGGGTTTACGAGGGTTTACATTTTATAAGAACTGTATGAGGGTTTATGAATATTTACGAGGGTTTTGCGGGTTTATGAGGGTTTACGAGGGTTTACGAAAGCTGTATGAGGGTTTATGAGGGTTTATAAGAACTATGTGAGGGTTTATAAAAAAGGGTTTCCGAGGGTTTAGGGTTTATCCGAGCTGTACAAGGGTTTAGCGTGTCCATCTGTGAATGTTTCTGCATATGACAAGCTTTTCTATCTGTCCCTCTAGGGTTTAGGGTTTATTAGGGTTTATTAGGGTTTATTAGGGTTTATTAGGGTTTATTAGGGTTTATTAGNTTAGGGTTTATTAGGGTTTACTAGGGTTTACTAGGGTTTACTAGGGTTTACTAGGGTTTACTAGGGTTTACAAGGGTTTACTAGTGTTTACTAGTGTTTACTAGTGTTTACTAGTGTTTACTAGTGTTTACTAGTGTTTACTAGTGTTTACTAGGGTTTACAAGGGTTTACAAGGGTTTACGAGGGTTTAGGGTTTAGGGTTTACCTCATCACAAGAAACTGGGGTAACTCTGTGTGAGAGTATAAGTGCAGCAGCAAAGAAACCCTTGCTGGCTTTTTCTATAGCAGCAAAATCATACTGCAGCAGCAGCAAACCAGGACACCGCTGCAGCGCCTGCCGCAGCCACATACCCTTACAAACCCCAAACCCTCGAGCTATGTAGTTGCAGCTAGCTATCTCAGAGGTTCCGCCCCCACCACCAGCTGCTGCTGCTGCTGCTGCTGCTGCTGTTGCTGCTGATGATGCTGATGATGGTGATAGTGATGATCCGGCTGCTGCAGAGCAGCAGCAACACAAACAAACAAACAAAACCATCAAAGACGAGATGGGGGTCTAGCAGCTGCAACAGCAGCTGCAGCAGCA